CACAACTGCCGGCGGGGGGCGGGGGGGCGGGCGACACGGTCCCTCGACTCAAAGAATCAGGCAGGCGGCAACACACGTTGACTTGAAGATGAGAGAGAGAGGGAGAGAGGCTGAGGCAGTGAGAGAATGAAAGGAGAGGGAGGAGGAGGGGAGGGGAGGAAGGAGAGGAGAGAAGAGGCGGGAAGTGGGCAGGGAGTAGGCTTGGGGCAGATGCCTGGGTGGTGACTTGAAGATGAGAGAGAGAGGGAGAGAGGCTGAGGCAGTGAGAGAATGAAAGGAGAGGGAGGAGGAGGGGAGGGGAGGAAGGAGAGGAGAGAAGAGGCGGGAAGTGGGCAGGGAGTAGGCTTGGGGCAGATGCCTGGGTTTTAGGTCCCGGGACCTGCAACCCACTGGCCGTGTGACCTTGGGTAAGTCATGTGCCCGCTCTGTGCCTCGGTTTCATTCAGCGACGCATCCACCGGCAGCTGGGCTGGCACACAGGCGTTCCCACAACAGGCGCTGTGTGCTGTGTGTGAAGGGGGTGTGGGGAGGCAGCCGGGGAGCAGGACCCCCAAAGATACTGTTTGGACAGATGGACTGAGGGATGGAAAGGAGGGAGGGGAGGTGGGGAAGGAGGACACCAGCCTGCCCCAGAGCCCCACTACAGCGACCCACGCAATGGGTGTGATCAGCAGGCTTCGGGTGGGGCTCACACAGCCCCACTGGTCGTGTGACCTGGGTTACAATCTGCTGCGTTGCCCCTAAACCCTACCAGGGCCTGGGACTTGGGGGTCCTCCATTTGAAAACAGGGATAGCAAAGCCTTCCGCTCAGCACTCTGTGGGCACTGGCTGGGCGCCTGGCACATAGTAGGGCAGCTCCTTCCTGTACAGGTGTGTGAGCGAATGCCTCCAGCTGCACTGGGCCCCTCCCGTCTGGGACGCCCCCCTCTCCCTCCCTTCCCTGCCTCCCTGAGACCCCGTTCTGTGGTCCCCTCCTCCGCCAGCTCCCAGCCCCGCTGACAGCCTTTGTCTCTGCCTCTGCTCTCGGGCTTCCGGAACCCCTGAACGTGTCCCACTGGCTGGGGCGTTCTGGGCCCTCTACCCGGTGGCCTGGGAGCCCTGGACGCAAGCTCTGCCTCAGGTGCCCCCTGGTCAGCGTCGCCCAGGCCTAGCCTGGCCCCCAAGCACCAAGGGAGGGCTGGCAGGGTCAGCAGAGGCTGTGGTGGGAGGAAGAAGCTGGTCTGGGCAGCACTGCCAG